AGTACCAACCCATCACAAGGGTTTCAGGCTCGAAGATGTAATGAAGCTTGTTTGCTTTGGAATTCGTGAAGCATGCACTTTCGGCGCTTTGGATGTTACCTCTGTGCTGGCAGCGCGTGAGTATCCACAACAAAATGCCAATAAAAAACGCGACCCAGAGCAAGAGCAATGGTGCCGGGTTTGTGCCAGCGACGGTAGATCCATCTGGTGGTGTGCTCAACATCATGATGGAACCAGGAGTTCAGAACCGTGAAACCAAGCCTGATACAGCCGAGCAGTTCACCTTGACGCCACGATGAGGTGGTGGTCCGACTTTGCCGGGTCATCGCAAGCCTGCCGTGGACCGGCTTGTCGTCCGTGTTGTGATCGTCGCCGCACCGGAGTCACCGGAGGCGCTGTGCTGCATGGCTGAGTGCCTCTTCAGCGCCGGAGGTATTCGAGACAGGACTCGCCCGGTCGTTGATCCTCCGATAATGGTAGGTAGGCATTCCGGATGCTTTTTGGTGCCACTCAAATTAACTACGGTTTCATTCAAAGCTTCACCTCCTGGCCTAATGCACAGCCTTGTCCCTACTCTAGGTGCCCAATCAATCCTTAAGCCCGTCGCTCCTAAATCCTCAATCCTAAGCCGTCATTTCTAAATCCTCCATCCTAAGCCCTTAGGCTTACTATTATTCTCAACTCTCATCCCTAAAGCCCTCTGCAGAAGTTCGGTTTCTTGAGCCTTTGCAGCTGCCCTGAGCGTATCTGAAGCAGTGGCGCAGCGAGCCTGTGGCCACATGGACTTGGGTTTTGAGCTTTGGGGACGATGTTGGACCACTCAGGTCGTTCTGGCAAGATACAAGCTATGGTTTAGGGCTAACACTGACGGTTTCCGAAGGCCCCAATCGAACTTAACCAAAGTAGCTCCATGTCGAAACAACAAGCTTCATTACAGGCGGACTTTAATTGCAACTGGAGCTTTCCGCGCAACGAAACATGTGCAGGGTGTAGCGTTTAGTCGGATGGCAAATAAATTTACTGGAAGAGAAAGCATGTTCTGCCTCTACCTTTGGCGGGTACTTATTTCCCCAACCTACAGTACCAAAGTAAGAGATTGAGCCCGACTTGGCACTTGGCGGTTTTGAAGAGGGTTGCTGCATAGGTTTGCTTCATTGTTTAATAGTGTAACCAGTTTCAGGATTTCCACCAGGCTTCCGGACGTCCAGGGGCGACAAAGTACTGGTAACGCAACCCTGAACCTTGCACCTCAAGCCTAAACCCCTAAACCCTATAAGCCCTAAACCCTGAAACCTATAAACCCTAAACCCTGAACCCTAAACCCTGTACCTCATACCCTGTACCTTATAGCCTGTACCCTACTAAACCCGCCCACCACCCCTCTTCTTCTGTGGGTAGTTGGGTGCCGTCGAACGCCAACGAGACCTTGGGTCGCCAAGCCACTGTATCAGTATATCTTGATAACCCTAAACTATTGCTCGCACAAAGTTCCTGGACCCCATCCCTTGGCGACTTGGGGCGAGGGAACCCCCAACCCTTCACGAGTTAAGGCGGCGGAACCCCCAACCCTTCACGACTTGAGCCCCTTTCGAGCGGCTTGCCACCTGTTTGTCAGATGCTCTGGTCCCTTTCGAGCGGTTTGCTAACTGCTTGTCAGATTCTCTAGGCACTTTCGTGCGTTCTCCAGTCCCTTTCGAGCGGTTCGCGACCTGCCTGTCACATTCTCTCGTTCCTTTCGAGCAGTTTGCTACCTGCTTGTCACATTCTCTCGTTCCTTTCGAGCAGTTTGCTACCTGTTTGTCAGATTCTCTCGTCCCTATCGAGCGGTTTGCCGCCTGCTTGTCACATTCTCTACTCCCTTTCGAGCGGTTTGCTACCTGTTTGTCAGATTCTCTAGCTCCTTCGAGCCGTTTGCTACTTGTCTGTCAGATTCTCCAGTCCGTTTCGAGCGGTTTGCAACCCGCTTGTCAGATTCTCTAATTTTTGTCGAACGGTTTGCCACTTGTCAGATTCTCTAGTCCCTTCGAGCGCTCAATTTGCTACCTGTTTGTCAGATTCTCTCGTCCCTTTCGAGCGGTTTGCTACCTGTTTGTCAGATTCTCTAGCCCCGAGCGGTTTGCTTCCTGTTCCAAAACCTTACACCCTAAACCCTGTATCTTATGCCCTGCACCCCACTAAACCCTAAACCTTGTACCTTATACCCTGCACCCTACTAAACCCTAAACCCTAAATCCTGTACCTTACCCGTACCGAACTCAACCCTAAACCCTAAACCCTGAGCCTACTAAAACCTCAACCCTGTACAGTATACCCTGCACCCTACTAACCCCTAAACCATGTAGCTTATACCCTGTACCCTACTAAACCCTAAACCCTAAACCCCGTACCCTAAACCCTAAACCTCCACAGATGCCCTGGCCTCGGCTTGCGCAAGCTCTGCGGCAAAGAGCTCCAGGTGGCGCCGCAGGGCATCTTGCGATCGAAGCCTGGGCAGCTACAAAAGGGGTTTAATATTTACCTGCACTATTTTTTGGGTGTTCCTTATGATATTTACAGTATAATAGGCCCCAAACCCTATTCTAATTAGTATATTAAGGCCCCGGCCCCTATATTGTGCCCCCTTGAGCCCCTACGCCACTAAAACCATGAACACCTCATGCCTGAACACCGGGAAATCTAGAGCCCCGAAGCCACGAACTCTCCGACACGTCAAAAGCCTCTGAACCTCCACAGCCCGAAGACCCCTACACCTTAGAAGGGGCCCCCACCCTGTAATAGTGGTATAATAGGAATAGAATAAGGCCCTAATATAACCTTAGAGTCACTATTACAGGGTGGGGGCAGCTTCTAACCTACACCCTGAACCCTCAACACCCAGAGCCTTTCGCTCTGAGGCCTGGAAGCACTGCCGATAACTACAATGCTCGAATTGAGTTCCCCGAGAAGCCGGAGTGCCGGAGGACGAAGCGACGACCAAACTGCGGAAAAGAATTGTTGGAACTTCAAAGCAAAATCACAAAGCACTCTAGACACTAAAACCCCGAAACCCCTCACACCGCTGCATCTTTAAGCGCCCAACTGCTCCGCCATGTCGGCTGCACGGACCTTTCAAAGGATTCAACTGATGCTTCCTGTAGGGGCTTGATACGGGTTCCCGAAGGATTTTTACAATATTTATAGCTGTTTCTCTCAGGGTTGTAATCCTGGTTTTAAAAGGGCTGGAAAAGGGTGCAGGGATCTAGGGTTTACGTTTCAGGTCAGGGTAGCGGCTTCAGTCTCAGGAGCTCGCGATACTGGGGCTCAGAATTTGGGGATTTGGGATTCTGTCATATGCGCAGCACTAAATCTGGACATCCCCTCTCATCCAATCACTGAGTATCTAGCGGCTGCTGCATCGAGGCCGGCAACTTGGTCAAAAAGACGCTGCACCTGCGGAAGACAGTGGCACAGAATCGTCCTCTAACCACGCATATCTATGTGCAAGACATCCAGAACTATGAACAGTAAAGAGATTACGTGCATCAAGTCATGTACCAGGAAGCTCCTTCGCTTACATGCCTGAAACCTTCCCTCTCCACCCAGCCAAAGAACCGAGCCCTTCCATCCTCAAACCCGCAAGTTTGGTTGAGAGCTCTTTCCCAACTGCCAATCAGCCAATTCAATCCAAAGTGGGGCTAAAGTTAACGACCTAGGGCTTGGGGCTTGCAGAGTAGTGCCCATGGCTCGTCATAGTTCCTGAGAGTTTACGGGCTTAGCTTCTAGGCTTCGCCAGCCATTGAGTGCTGCAGCCGGAACTTCCATGTAGGGCTTTGAGTTTGGGGCTCCTGAGTCCTCAGCCCTGAACCCTTTACTACGCACAGAATGGAGGCTTATGCCAACTAGGGTTCCTTCTCCTCTGGGTCCCCATGCAAGTCTAGCAAGCAGGTGCCAGACGTTGGAACAAATTAGGTGAATCGTAGGTATAAGCTCTGGGTGAGGTGTCCGAAGATCTAAGACACTAGATCTGAGCAGGGTAGCATATACCAGCACAATCACGAAACCAAACTCTGGCCTCTAAGCCCCCATAAACCCGAACCCCCAAACCCTAAACAGTTTGAGTTTTTCAGGCATCCCAGACGTAGGTCGCGGCACTGCTAGAACGACTATACCAAGGGATGGCAGTACCGAGGGTGGGTTCAAGCTCCAGGGTTGACATAGGGGCCGTAATGGATCGAAAAGGATATTGAGGTACATAGTCCTAAAAGACTATGATGGGGGGCTGAGCAACAGTGAACAACATATTACTTGTTAGTAAAGTTCCTGCCCTAGGGTCTTTCGCGATGGCTGGTAGTACAATCTGCCATGGGCGCGGTAGTCCCGCTCCCCAACGAGATGTAATAGTGTGCTAAGTTCTGCCAGAAACGATCACGAGCAGCATTGGATGGCACCAGTTGTAGATGAGCTACTGCTTCTACAACAACCACTCTTAATCACATTTTCTCTGGGTCGTAATGCATTGCTGCTCCACAAAACTCCAATGCCGAGTCAGTGATGGTCTATGCCCGGGGTACGACGCCATCGAGCAGTCGTCCAAGTCGCTGTGCGACGGAGATCGTGCTGAAAGAATCCATTCAGGATCTTGAGCTGCCATGCAGCTGCGAGCTGAAGAAGGCGATGCCCGTTGCACTACGTTGTCCGAGCCCTGAAGACCAGGTACTCAGCCGGCACAAACAGAAGCGTCGTTGGGGTCACGCCGCCCCACGCGGCAATTGAAATCTCCAATCATGAAAGTTACCACGCATGTCGGGGTGGTTCTCCACCGCAGCAAAGAAGCTGCTTTGGCGACAACTCCCCTCTCGCCTCCTTCCTCCTCCTCCTCCTCCTCCTCCTCCTCCTCCTCCTCCTCCTCCTCCCAAATATGAGCAAACAAAGAGTATCAGCTACGAAGCACCATCCCAACCCCTAAACTTAAACCCAAAAAACTAGACTAGGCCTCACTTGGCCTTTTGGAGTTATGCAGCCTGGGCTTCGGTGGTCTCCACGCTGGCAGTGACCTCTTCAGCCTCGGCTCACAGTTTCCAAGTGACCCAAGTGTAGGGGCTTAGAGTTTGGGGTTTGGGATTTAATGTTTAAAGTTTATCGGGTTTAGAGTATTGGGCGGGCATGGGCTGGCTGCCTTGTAGCATGTATAGAGACATCAGCAGCATATTTCTTGCGATTCCTTTGGTCAGTGTGACTCTGGTTCTGCAAACGCACGGCTTCGGTTGCTGTTTTTGCAAATGCCACTGTACATTCTAACATCATAACGACACTGTGTCATTACAGCGTATGCTTCTTTGCATTGCGCGAGCCTGCTCTCCTGCTGGTGTGGAATCTAGGGTTTGCCAGTCGCAAACACTGTCGGTAGCAGCTGCTGAAGATATTTGCTGTAGATATTTACAGGTCTATCATAGAATGACTAGCGATACAATACTGCTCGTGGTGACGGTGACAATGACAATGCTAAACCTTGTCAGGACCATTCGTCAAGTCTCAGGGCCTGGATCTATTCACCTTTGTTCCTGTTTGCCTCGGAAACAGTCGGGGAGCACAGCACTTCGAGGGGTGAAGTTGCGAGTTTCCAACTGATAGTCCCAGGGTCCTGCTTACGACAAATTGGTGCACAAAGCCGGGTATCTCAACCGGAGGACCTTGAAGGGAGCCCAACTTTCGAAAAACCCTACATGTAAAGAGCTCTCAGTACGACTAGAAAACGAGATCCCGGCCAGTTGTTTGGAGGTAGGCGATACGGGCTTGATGAGCTCCGCTTCCTCTCACGTGAAAGAATGTTTGCATGAGCTCCTATTGAAATTGAGGGGTTCGCCGACGAGTGCGGCACTCTTGTAACAAGGGCCCTGCAAGGGAGGACCGTCTTTTAAGGAACTCATCACATGTAGGGTCTGGGAGTATCAGAGTTCGGCTCTGGAAATCTGCAGCTTCCGGGCCACAGGTTGAGGGCTTTGGGTATAATAGGGAATGATTTTATCAAGCCTTGACTCGACCTGAAGTCACCGCACCTTGTATTTTGGGGCTTCAGATCCAGCTTTTCACCATGCGGTGCTCGTTTCTCTTATGCTGCATTCTGAAATCTCCCAATCCTCATCCCTGGACGTCCAGACAACCCAGCTCCCTTCAGAGAGGTCTTGCAAAAGTAGCCTCGTGCAATATGAGGGTGCTACAGGATCTGACTGGGCTTTGTATGATTCCGCGCATTCCCACTTCCTTGGTCCCCCCGAAACTTCTCCAACACAACGCTCCATTTGTCCTACTCTACAACGGCGGCACCCGGCTGGACTATCGCGAGCATAGTACTTCGAATGATTGTGTGCCACATCGTGTTAGAAACACGACTAGCAACATCAGTTATGACAACTGATGAGGATCGTGGATACCGTCCCACATGCTAAGCTCTTACAAGCTCACTATAACCCCAAAACACAGCCGCCTCTCCTAGCAGTAATCTGTGTATATATATATATATATATATATATATATATATAAATGTATACACATATTGAAGCCGTGATAAGCCGTGTTTCGGGTTACGCGCATGTCCTGTCGTGAAGTTTTCGCTTACAACAGACAGGGCCGACAGGTCAGGCTTTGAATCCGACAGTTTTACAATGTTTTACATAATGCATACTGAAATGCATGAAATGCAAACCTTAAGGAGCAGGACGTAATTCCGAAGGCTTTAGCCAAAACCCATTCCACATATCACCCTGAGCCGGACTGCAATCATCCGGCCTCTTTCTCCTGCTCAGCCTCCAGGGCCTCCCGAGGCTTCGACCCTTAAAACCAAAGCATCAGCCCTACGAGCAATAAACCGGAAACCACACCTTGAGCCCCAAGAGACTTAAATGCCGAAGAGCACTGCTAAGCGTGAGATGCCGGGTTCTGTGGGTTGGAGCTTTTTTCTGTTCAGGGCTGAAGCTTTTGAAAGTCAAGGGCGTAGTAATAGCAGGTAGTCCAATACAGGGGCCTTAAAATTAAAAAAAACAACCAACACACAGTTAGCAATTATTTAGGCCCCTATAGTAGTGTAGTAGCCATAGAACAGGTGCGTGTAAAACCGATCGTACAGGAATTCAGTGCTGGTTCCATGGGCTTTTACACTGTACCAGCCTGATCTCCTTGGAAAAAATCCGACATATGCATTGACCCTCTTTATAGGGCTGGTATAATTATATGCTATGGCTATGGTCATGGTTTACCGGCATGTAACTTCAATAATAGGCCGTAAGTCAAGGCTTTTTTGACTTTTTAAGGAGCTCTCCATGACATAGGGAATGTGCTGAAGCAGCAGCATCGGAGTCGCCTGGACAGATTTCAGGTATGGGGTTTGCGGAGCTTATAAGGCTGACTAAAATTTTGAGTTTTCTCGCGTTTCTCAGGGGCAAATAGAGGCGGGATTGTACTGACCTCAGAAATATCGAAGGGAGCCTGAAGCCAGGTTTCATGTCGAGGATGAGCGGGGTCCGAAGGTTTGGGGGTTGTGAGGCTTACGGGGTAGATAGCCCATTCGTTCTCTACCCGCTCTTCCTTTCACGATCTCAGCCCTGTACTGTGTCTAGAGTCCCACTCCCAAGAAGCCTGAACAACGTTTCAGACTTGGTGCTGCGGAGTGCGTGGGGAAGAGATACAGCCGCAGTCTGGACATAGCTTTCGGGCATGGCTCAAAGTTCCCGATATGGTAGGTAGACCATCACAGCAAGCGAAGAATTGCAGGACATTTTCAAAAGAACGATCCAGCCCTTTGAAACGACCTGAAGCCTTTAAACAACCTTGAATGACCATAAACAGCCGGTCTAAGACAATACAAAGCCCGCATCAAAAACCCTCTAAGCTCCGAAGTGCATCCCAGCCTCCAGCCGCGCAGCCTCTGCAGCAGCGAGGTCAATCTCTGCACAGAAAAGTTCTGCAGACCTAAGTGGAAGCGTTGAATCTTCGATGAGTTCAAGTGTTGTGAAGGGTCGTTGGGTCGTTGGCAACAGCCGTGCCTCGTTGCGACATGTGACCGAGGAACTGCTCCAAACACGCTTGCGACGAGCATTGGACTCATCCTGTAATCCAGGTTTGCACTTAGCCTTGTCAACTGAAGCCCAAGCCGAGCGCACCATCCGTAGCCCAACACCGGCCATGATAATAGAAGTGGAGGTAGTGGCGTTGGTACTGATGATGGTGGTAGTCGTAATCGTACTCACAACAATAGAAGCTCCACATCTCGACACAAAAACCAAGCGAACCGTCGTGGCCTAGGTCTTTCACCCGCACGAACTCTCCATGATCCCGTGACTACCCTAGCCTGAAACCCTTCCACGCCTGAACCGCCCGAAACCCTAATTTAAATGGTGAAGGAAGCCTGGGAAACTTCTCAGTTCCCGACGCCGAAAGCCGCTCGCAAGCACCCCCTTAGCAAAGACGCGAGACAAAGAAGTCAAACCACGGTTAATGGATTTGTAAGATGCCAAGGTCGCTTGCGCTATTTTCGAAGGTTCTTACTACTGCACAAACTCATGGTGCCATTCTTGCTGTGATGTTACATGGAAACCTTAACTTATTCCAGTTACCTTTAGTCCCTAGCTTAATTATGCTGATTGTGACCCGGCCTGCTACTTACACATGCTCTATCACGCTTTCAGTCTAGCTGTGCCTGGGTGGCTTTGGAGGGTGTTCAGGCTCTGCGCCACCTGCGGTGTGATAAGTTCCTGTGCGGTTGCGCACACATGCATAATAATGTGTATACAAACACAAAAACAAGCAGATGTATCTATCTGTTGATTTCCATCTCTCTTTCTCTTTCGTCTTTTTACTTATCCGTACTTCCGCGTCAGCTCGAACGCAGCGGCGAAAAACAAAACCAATCCCTTGGTATCTTCTGGGGTCCTCAGGCCACAGCCATCTGCAATGTCCTCGCCACACAATCACTGAAACAGAGCACGCTGCCTGTTTCTAAGAGCACTTGCACGACGGGTTTCTCATTAAAGAATCTTCCTTGGATTTTTTAAGGCTTCTTGATGTAAGGAAATTCGTTCAGCAAGTCTTCTACCACAACATAGACAGGGCAGGCCCGAGGAACAACATTTACAGTTTTCAAGCCGCTGCACTCGGAGAAAGAGAACCCCAAAGTCTCCATCCACCTCGAAAGTCTTAAACTCCAACCGTCGTTTAAGGCTTAGGATGTTGCTTATGGTTCAATCTAGGGGCTAGGGTTGGTATTTAGGGTTTTTTCTACCAGTGTTTGCTATGGTTTTTTCCGAATTGATCGGGAGCCCCGAGACGCTTCCGTGACAGGACACAGGTGGCTCCGACGGCTCCGTGAGGTGGCCCCAGGCCGAAGGAGCATCTAAGATTGCGATTACAAGGCTTGAGTTGAGAATGGAGGCAGATGCAATGTCGAAACCTGCCCGGTTCCAACAAAGGGAGATGAAGCGCCCTGCACCCGAGAAGGTTTGGAGAAAGGCAGAATAAGGTGCCGCGAAGTGGCAATTCGTCAGAACGAAAAAGACGTTGCCGAGAGACCGCAATTTTCCGCGAATGCGAACAGGCGCGTCGGGCAGCGAGGAACCAACACTTTGTTGCACTGAGGCACCTTGCTTGACCGCGGTCTCTGCAGAAAACATTTAGTTGGTTATCCGAATGTCTCCGAACCAGCCTTAACCATTTCCCACTCGTTTTCTCGAAGCGCCAAGGTTCTCACCATCGGAAGGCAATGATGCTGCAGCACCAAACTGCTCAAACAGCTGCAAGACACATGCACCATCAGTGTGCTGCAACAATGGCCTGGAATCCTGTTGTAACACCTGCAAAAAAGCGTTGAGTTTAGCCCTTTTCGCGGTCTGCTCCAAACCAAGTAGTGGGCAGCCGTCATGGAATGCAACCTTTCCGTGCCACGAGTCACCAAGCACTCCCAGACAACACCAAAACCAGCACGTCCCCACAGGTGGCAGTTGAGCCAGTCAACGGAGAAGCACTGATATCGCCACCGTAAACACGAGGAGTAGTCTGTGGGCACAGTGCCGAACTTACTTTTTAAGCGATTGGTAAGACCGTCATAAAAGTTTGGGAGCCAAACGGTGAAGCTTGAAGGCAACGCAAGATGCTCAGCCAGTGACAGGACAATCTCGTGTAAAGGGACCAAACATCACTACTTCGAAAGGCATTTCTGCTCGCCCCCCCCCCCCCCCCAAGGCATTATTGGGTATGATTGGAATGCCTTCCCCCACCCGCCCACCTGGGTCCCTGGATAAGGCACATGCCTGAATAGGTACATGTCTCAGTGCGCGCGGTCCGTCGGAGCACAGGGCCGGTATACTGGGCAGGGCGGTTGGGATTGGTGCCGAAACTGCCTTGAAGCAACCCTCCCATCTCAAGCCGAAAACCGGGGGTTGCTTTGCGGGAAGGGGGAGGCTTGGGCGGGGCAATTGGATTCGCATACATAGCCGAGTTTTGTTGGGCGTGTGCTGACCGGGATGGTTTAGGGGATAACGGTGTAAGGGTTTAGGGGTGTGCAGGGTGTCGGGTTTGGCATGAGAACATGCACCCCGGAGACCACGGATTCCTTAGACCAGCCCGAATGTGCTCTTAGCCTCCAAGCGGGCATCGGAAATAAAACAAGTTTTCCTGGGGCATCCAAAGGGTGGGGGCGCAAGGCATTAGGGGGGGTCGCAAGGCATTTCACGGGGTGGAAAGGCATTTTATTGCCTTCCGGGAGCCCCCGTGCAGGGGGGGCCGCAAGGCATTCTGCAGGAGTAGTGATGACCAAACCGAAAACTTCTCGAAGTCGAGAAACCAACCGAGAAGTCGGAACCTTGTACGAGTAAGTAACAAACATGCCCCAACAGACGAAGCCAGCTCATTGTCATAAAGCATCGATGGTAGAGCGACAGACACACAGACCGGTTTGTTGCAGATGTATCCACGACTGATGCCAACAGATGATCTCAGTCAGTTTTGCAACTCGCCCACAGGCGATGGACGACTGGCAAAATGCTCGGAGGCCTAAGAGCGGCAGGGGTGTCATCGGAATCGGGTCTAAGGATTAAAATTTAAAATGGGTTAAACAAACGTACCCAAAGGCAGGGCCTCCGGCCGACGCCCTGTGACTTCAATCAGCGAAAGAACATCACAAAAGCTGTGAAGGCAGAAGTCTGGGAGAGTCTTAGTCGGCGAGACTTCCCAACAACCAAGACCGGAAGCAGAAATGGAGCTAATCTCAACCTGAGTGGCGCAAAGACGCGCTGGAGCAAGGGCTTCAAGCTGTAATGGCACGGCGGAAGGAAAAACTCACAAAATCAGGCGGGAAGTTTCTCAGTGGACACCCTGTTGAAAACCCCGAATCAAGGCATCAGTCGTTGAAGGGCAGGCAGTGTCGAAGTCGAAGTCGGGTCGGTGCGGCCTGTGGAGCTACCGCAACAAAACTTGCAAGTGCGAGAGCAGCGCAGGAAGCGGAAAAGCAGAATGCACCGAAGGAGCAGAAAAACAGGCACCAGGAGAAAAGAACGGAGAGGGGGAGAGGGGAGAGGGAGGGGAGAAAGGAAGGGAAGAGGGGGCGAACCACAAAACCACGAAGCAAGGGAAACCGACGAAAACAAGAGACCAAGTGAAGGCAAGCAGAACCAAGCGACCAACGACAAAAAGGACACAAAAGAAGGCGAACAGCGCCAGCACAGAATCCGACGAAGACATGTGACAAACCTGGAACCGACAGCCTATCCAAGCGTCACCCGGAACAAAAAGCCCACAAATACATTGCCTCAACAATGGAGCAGCACGTGAGCATAAAGAAAGCCAACTATCGAAAGAACCCTGCATGAGACACTGAGAGACAAGGAGGTAGTCTAAAAGGTAAGGAACAACGTACAGCATCCCTCAATCAGCGGCAGTGAAAACGCTGAAAAATGCAGATGATATCAGCACAGATTCCGTCGAAAACATGCGTCTAACCTGCCTTACAACGACCACCCCGACAAACGGGCTTGATAACAGCTATATATAGCTCCAAGCAACCGTCAACAGAAGAAACATTGAAGAAGACAGGCAAGTCGGCACAGACTCCGTCGAAAACATGTGCCTAACCTGAAACCGACAGCGACCCGCGACTGAACCTTGTGCAAGCTCTTAGCACTGGCACAGGAGCTACCAGAAAGCTTTTAAAAGCCCCGCGCGCGGGAGGGTCCAGCCTGCCTGATACTCTGAACGTAAAACGAGCATCAGGACCTACGGGGGAAAAAACTAACGAGACCCTCCCCTGCGATCACGAGCTCCGCGTCGAGGCTCTCGCTTCCGAGACACTTTGGAGCCGTTTCGAGCGCCACCCTTCCCCTTGCCACGGCCTTTGGCCGGGCTCAAACCATATTCCTCCATCCGTTTGCGTTTCTTAGCCATATCGGCCTGGCAAACCGCGCTGAACAAGTTGCGAGAACCGAAGGGCCTGCAAGGATGGCATAAACCTGACGTCGAGAGCAGTGTGCTTACCCCACGGACCCCCTACTGGGAACACCCCGATGACCTCCTCACCAGCCCCGAGAGTCTCCCGGAGCTCGGCCCGGATCTGCACCTGCTTCGCCGTATCCGACATAGCAGATATGGCCGGCTCGAGGTCTTGGAGCAAAAGTTCAAAGATCTCCGTCTTGGCTTTCCAAAGGCCATCCTTTCGTTCGACCAGCGACATCATACGGCTGTTCAACGTAGACATACCCTCCCATCGGCTTCGGCAAGTGGAGCTCCAGTCGGAGAAGGCATCTTCGAGCGTGCAGAGTCTGGCATCCACATCCGGATCTGGACCTGCTTGCGGTATCCGTCATCGCAGAGATGGCTGGGTCAAGGTCCTGGAGCAGGAACTCGAAAAGTTCCGACTTTACCTTCCGCAGGCCGTCTTTGCGATACACAAGCGACATCATGCGATTGTTGAGCGCCGTCATCCCCTCCCATCTGCTTCTGCAGGTGGAGCTCCAGTGTAGATCCGTTCATGCTGCACGAAGGGTTGAGAGGACTTGTAAGCCGTGTCACAGCCACCCCGTTCAGCGTCACGGAACGAACTTTCACACCGCCCTCCACCGAGACACTCTTGGAAAACCATGACAGGGGCCTCCAAAGCATTCTAGCGTAAAGCCTAGACACCTAGGAGCCCTTAACCCGAATCCGTCAAAGCAAACTCAAACTTGCCACAGGAAGGTTCAGAAGCACGCCAGCTCGACGATTCCCCCCCTCCTCCCCGCCCCCAACTACAGAAATTCTCCTAATTCGGGCTTAGGCTTCCCAAGGGAGTGGTGATGTCCTGGCGTTTCCGCGCCATATTGAGCACGAAATCTAACAACCTTATTTGGTCCTGCTGGGACCTGCCTCCTACTACCATCTAGGCTCGCAGTCTTAAACTGTGAAGCCCCGCGAAACTCTCGAAACGAAATCGAAAACACCATGTGATCCTCTCGACACTCCTGCAAGAATACCATAAGCGCCACCGGAAAGCTGCACAAACTCCAAAGACCATCCAGACTTTCATCTTTCAAACGTGTCCACGCCGCCTCGAGCCACTGAAGTCGTCGAGACAGCCTCGAGGTGGCTGCTGCCAGTGTCTCCTCGGAAGCCTGCTTCTCATGGTGACGAACAACGGGCATGAGTTTAGGCCATAGTTCAGGCTTTAGTATTTAGAGAGTTACATACTACAGTGCTTTGGGGTGCGGGTTTTGGCTTTGGGGCTTTTCTGCGATGGCTGGTGATGATCGTGAGAAGTGACTCAAGCTTAATGTGAGCTGTGCTACCATTGCCACAGTGATCTATGTGTTAGTGACTTTTCGTGAATCTCGTCGGTAACCACGTTTTAGTTGCTTTTACGATCACTAGGCTGATGGCATCAGAAGCTTTCTGTTATCATCTCCGAGGTCCCTTAATATATAGAGCTGCAGTCGCAAGAGTAACAGTGACAGTAACAGCAGCCAGAGTGGTGGTACTGGTGCTGCTGCTGGTGCTGGTGGCGGCGGGCGTGGCGACAAAAGTGGTGGAAGTGGTGGTGGTGGTGGTGGTGGTGGTGGTGGTGGTGGTGGTGGTGGTGGTGGTGGTGGTGGTGGTGGTGGTGGTGGTGGTGGTGGTGGTGATCGTCATCGTAGTACTAGTACTAGCAGCAATTGAATCAGGAATGTCAGTTTTCAACCATTCAATATTCCAGAAACCCTCAGATAATTTGTGTGGTGGCCAGGCTTGTGCATTTTGCAACGACCAGGCTTTCGACACGTCATGTCCGTGTGGAGACCATCATGTGCCACCGCAGGCGAGTACTCGCTGGCTGCTGCTGCTCCTAAGTCCTACTGCTCACCTTTCGCCTTCGCTGCCATAATGCTCATACGACATCATCATCGTCATCACCATCATCATCATCATCATCTAGACATCGTTCTTGTCGTCTCAGCCGTTGTTCGTGTCCGTCTTCTTCTTGCCCGGCATTTGCTTCCTATGTACATGACGAACTGTTGTCGTTCTCGTTACCTATCCTGCTCTCATGACTGATATACAGGCCCAGATTATCAGGAATGTTCGTCGTATTACCCACTACTACCCGCTGCAACTCCTGACCCTGAACCCCTTGACCTTTAACCGCAAACCCTTCTTCAACCCCCCCAAACAGCCGACAGTCCTACAGTCCTATACGCGCTACATCCCGAAACCCTAGACTCCTAAACCCTACAGTAAGTCTGTAACCCGACGCTCACTGGTGCCGCCTCCGCCTCCTCCTCGGCCGTCCCCAGGGAGTTCCGGACAGACTCGAGTCTGGCCTGAAAAAGGTATCCGTTGTTCAGGATTTAGGCATAGGGCTGTTTGAGCGGCACGGCTTATTGTTGAAGTTTCGGGTCTTTGTGGGGTTGTGTTGTCCAGGAATGCGGCACGGAAAGTGAAAGGCTTCCGCAGCCTTGAGTCGGGACTCGTAATTGAAGCGAAGCACCCCATGGACAATATGGAAACACAGAGCCTTCGTACTTGGGGAATCCACGCCGACCTTCGGGTGTAACTCGTTCGGGTTCATACCACACCCTGAACCCTCAATCGTTAAAGACTACAGCCGGAGCCCGAAACCCCAAACCCGATAGAGCCCTGAAGCCGAAAACCCTCACCTCTGTTCTTTGAACCCAAAAGTCGAATCCGTGAACCTACCGGCCTACATCCTAAAATGCTACACTTTCGAATGCTGAAATCACTGAAACCTGAACTCTCGCACTCTACAGTGTAAACGCCCAAAGCTTTCGCTTGGCCCGACGCGCAACCGAATTCCACGGCAATCCATGCATTTGAACGTTCCCACACTTATTCGCGAAGGACGTCTAAGCTGACTGCGTCAAAAAAGTCTTCGCCTCCTGTCCCTGCGGCGACCGCATCCTTGACACCACCACTACGAGCAGATAAGCATGGATGCGACCCAGGGGACGAGACTCAAAGCCCCGCTTCACAACGGGGTCAACGCACGGCTCAGGCCGCGAAACAGGCCATGCACTCGAAAATCGCTTTCATTTTCTTTAACACCATCTGAAATCCTAGACCCTTAAGCCTAAGCCTTAAACCCTTCAAGCCGCATGCCGCATAAACCTTACACCCTCCCCTCACCTGAAACCCCCACCCACAGAACCTGTTGAACTGCGCATTAGTACCTGTAAAGGCCCATATTCGTCCCTAGAGCAGTCTTCGACGTCGCAGGGCCTCCAGGTCTGACAATGCTTCGGCCTCGTCCGGGGCGGGCTTCAGGGTTTTGTTGTTTCTGAATGCTTTTGGGTGTTGTTGCTGTTGTTGTTGTTGTTGGTATAGATAAAAACAGCAGCCCGTACTTGTTGTTAATTAGAAGCAGTTGGGAATGCTTCCGGCGACCGAATAGGGTGCCTGTAGAGTTTTGGGAAGTGCAAGCCATGGTTTACACAGCAACTGCCCCATGATAGAAATGCGGTCTAGGCTGGGTGGTTGTTGTAAAAGGGGGGTGGTCAAAACAACAGACGGGGCTCCAGTTTTTGCCTCTGCTACAGGGGGTAGAGACAAAGGCACCGGCGAAATCAGGACTTTGTCCCTACCCCATGTAGTAGAGGCAAAAACTGGAGCCCCGTCTGTTGTTTTGACACCCCCCCTTTACAACAACCGCCCACATTACACCACATTTCCACCACAGGTATAGGAATCTGCGATATCCAGAAGGGGTTCTGAGGGGTGTTGGAAGGGCTTGTCTGGAATTTTGAGGGGTTTGCATTGGATACCCATACACTCAAAACTAGAGTTACCAGTTACTATACAGTAGTTTGTACAGGCCTCGCAAATGCATAATCTGCACAGCGGGGAACTGAAATAGACACCAAATCCATTGAAAGTACACACCAAAATCATTGAAATGCACACCAAATCCACTGAAATACACACCACATCCATTGAAATACACATTAAATCCACTGAAATACACACCAAATCCACTGAAATACACACCAAATCCATTGAAATACACATTAAATCCACTGAAATACACACGAAATCCACTGAAATACAGACGAAATCCATTGAAATACACATCAAATCCACTGAAATACACACGAAATCCACCGAAATACACACGAAATCCATTGAAATACGCACGAAATCCATTGACATACAGACGAAATCCTTGAAAGTACACACCAAACAGTATACATCACAGGCATCCACAGGCACTATGTTGTTGTTGTTGTTCTGGGGGGGGGGGGTAAAACAACATGACGGGGCTCCTGTTTTTGTCTCTACCTAATGTACAGACAAAAAGCAGACATATGGGTTGACGGGGCTGCAGTTTTTGTGTGTACCTTGTTGTTGTTGTTGTTGTTGTGCTTTATAGGCAGCCGTAGCAGCAGGAGCAGAGCAGCTGGAGCGGGAGCGGGAACTGGAGCGGGAGCGGCAGCAGCAGCCGCAGCCGTAGCAGGGGTAATAGTGGTAGTGGTGGTGGTGGTGGTGGTGGTGGTGGTGGTGGTGGTGGTAGTAGTGGTGGTATTGGTGGTGGCGGTGGTGGTGGTAGTGGTAGTACGAGTTGTTGTTGTTGCTGTGTTGTTGTCGTTGTTGCTGTGGCACGAGACGTGGAATTCGCAAGAGTAGTGACAGATGCAAAGAACCAGAGTCCACGCCTGGGCTGCGAGGAGCCAGCCGGAGGAGGGCCTTGGGGAGACAAAGTAAAGCTTCCTGCAAGCCTGCAGTAAGTATGTGCTGCTCTAAATTAAGTGCCCACTTGGGGTTCCCGAAAAGACTACATCACTCGCGTACTTGGGAGCCAGTTTAAAGGATGTGTTTGAGCACGTAGGCTAAGGTTACTGTAACCCAAATAGTACAGCAGTAGTAGGAGTCGGAGAGCCGGAATACAACCAAACAGGCAATCTCAGCAAAAAATCAAACATCCGATTCCCATATTCCAACTGTTTTGGGGTTCTGCTCTAGATCCTAAACCCGAAACGGAGACTCTCCAAGTCCCAGCTTTCCTCTTAACAAGGCTTAGCACATGATCAGGGAGACCTGCAATAACCACATCAAGGAGATCATATACGGGTCTGAGTGACTAGTTCAGTTAGAATAAGGTCTCATTGTATGGGGCTTTGCACATTTTTATGCGTTGTATACCGTTTACGGCAGAGCCTGAATGATTGCAGTACGCTCTTGGGGAACTGTATCGTTTTCTTGTGTTTGTCCCTCTAGGTTCTGACTCGGGGTTGAGGTCACGTGTAGCAAACGGGTTTTGGGATTGGAATCGTTCAGTGTTTAGGCTCCTTCGCATTGGGATGGCCTTTGGGTTTTAGGTTATGGGGCTGCTTAAGTGTGATGTGCTGGAAAAGCTTGAGCTTTCAGGTCTGGGTTGCTCCGAGTTGACGATAAGGGTTTCAGTGTTTGGGGCTGTCTATGGAAAGGGTTTCGGTTGTTTGGGGCAAGCCTGTGAAGCGCCATCGGCTGTACTTGGATGTGTCCTCGAAGTTATGTCTTTTGGCAGCGTGCTGAAGGTCAGTTTCCTGTGCAAAGCGAAGTGCAAACCGTGCCTCAGCATGAGCGTTCTTGACAACGACGCCGAGTGAGGTGGTCTCCGCTTCAGCCAAGGAGTTGGCATCATCGAGCGTGACACCAATAGGTAGCCAAAGCAAGCGAGGTTCTGGAATGAAGACCGAGCTCTCTTGAAGTTTGTAGAACACTCCTTTCACGCCTGAGGCCTTGAGGATCTTAGGAATCTCGGTGTCATGAACGAGGCAGGTGGCACTCTGGACCTGTCGAATCACCAGGTTGTCATACGCTGGGGCGGGTGTAGAGCTGGTTGGCTCCAAGCAATGTTGGGATCTTACCTATAACCTCCCCCCAACCCTACGTCTAACTTTAACCCTAAACCCTACAGGGTGCATAAGTTCGAAACCTTCCTGAAAACCTAAACCTCGAGACGATAAGCCCCACGTTCGTCCTCAGGGAGCTTCCCTGGCACCTTTAGGGATTACTCAGGGCAACCAGTCTGATCGGACGAATACAAACATGGTTTAGGCAGTTGTGGCTCATTTCTTCCATGATCCTTCTTTCTGCTTAAGTCGATGGATCATCTTTCTTTCGCTAGTGCCACTGCCACTGACTATACTATACCTACTAGTAGAAAACACCGCTGAAATTCAATCTATGCGCGACGCTACAGCACTAACGGGGGTTGACTATGCAAACCCTTTTGGTTCAATCCCCTGAAAACCCTCAAAAGACTCTTACAAAACCAAAGAAACATAACCTCACATGAAAACTAGGACAAGCCTTGCTGCTGCCTTGCTACAGTAACGGCTTTTACCAAACATCATGTCAAACAGCAAAAACGCACCCTCAAAGGCCGCCGCGGGAAGACAACCGCAAACATCCCGAGGCCAGGACGCACAAAGCGTGTAAGGAGCAGAATCTGGTGGTGAGGGCTTGCTGAATTCGAGCTTACATCAGATTCAGGATTTCTGGGTTTTCACAAAGTGGCTACAAGGACTTGTAGGGTTTTGCAAGGGTTTGCTGGCTGCTCTGATGTGCTATGTCGAGTTTGTGCCTTGGGTTCTAGAAGGGGCTAGGCACGGGGGCTTAGGTTTAAGAGTATTGGGCATGCTGCTTAGCCAAACAATAACCTTAAACCCCGAACCTATCTCCCCCCAACCCCTAAACCCCAAACCTTCATGAACCCCCCGATCATCTCCTCATGGAAAACTTGTAAAGCCCTCTAAGTTATGCTTACGACTCACAGTCGCCGCTTCCTTTGCAAACCCCGATCTTTCTCCAAGCCCCCGACAGGTGGCTTAGGGTTTCGGGGCTTCGGGCTTAGGGTTTTGAGGGTCTTGGGCTTCAGTTTTCGGGGCTTCGGGCTTAGGGTTTTGAGGATCTTGGGCTTAGGGTTTCGGGGCTTCACGCTTAGGGCTTTCAGGGTGAAGTGTCAAACAGCGGTAGTGGTAGCATTTGTAACCGTCTTCTGAAGGTTGACACAGCGTCGATGTCCTCATCAAAGGATTCTGTGAGCTGTACCACGCTTTGAAGTTGTTGGAAAGAGGTAGCTCGAACATTTTTGTCATCCACGTAAACACCGACGTTCCATAGCGAAGTCGTGTGATTGTTTTGGATTGTGCGTGCCCAAGCCGCCATGATGCTATTGATCCTCAGTGTCGCCAATGGACAGCCCTGCATAATGCCGTTGGTGTTTGGAAATATTGGTCCGATTGACGACCCAAGCTTGAAACGCCGCTTGATGTGACGAGTGTAACTGAGCATGGCCTTGAGTACACGGGGAGGCATCCCCATGCGATGTAGTAGGCCAGGGTTCCGGGGCTTCGGGCTTAGGGTTGGACAGTGTCTTGGGCTTTGGGTTTCGGGGCTTCGGGCTTGGGGTGTTGAGGGTCTTGGGCTTAGGGCTTCGGGGCTTCGGGCCCAGGGTTTTGAGAGTCTTGGGCTTAGGGTTTCGGGGCTTCGGGCCTAGGGTTTTGAGGGTCTTGGGCTTAGGGTTTCGGGGCTTCAGGCCTTGGGGTGTTGAGGGTCTTGGGCTTAGGGCTTCGGGCCCAGGGTTTTGAGAGTCTTGGGCTTAAGGTTTCGGGGCTTCGGGCCTAGGGTTTTGAGGGTCTTGGGCTTAGGGTTTCGGGGCTTCAGGCCTTGGGGTGTTGAGGGTCTTGGGCTTAGGGCTTCGGGGCTTCGGGCCCAGGGTTTTGAGAGTCTTGGGCTTAGGGTTTCGGGGCTTCGGGCCTAGGGTTTTGAGGGTCTTGGGCTTAGGGTTTCGGGGCTTCAGGCCTTGGGGTGTTGAGGGTCTTGGGCTTAGGGCTTCGGGCCCAGGGTTTTGAGAGTCTTGGGCTTAAGGTTTCGGGGCTTCGGGCCTAGGGTTTTGAGGGTCTTGGGCTTAGGGTTTCGTGGCTTCGGGCCTAGGGTTTTGAGGGTCTTGGGCTTAGGGTTTCGGGGCTTCGGGCCTAGGGTTTTGAGGGTCTTGGGCTTAGGGTTTCGGGGCTTCGGGCCTAGGGTTTTGAGGGTCTTGGGCTTAGGGTTTCGTGGCTTCGGGTTTAGGGTTTTGAGGGTCTTGGGCTTAGGGTTTCGGGGCTTTGGGCCTAGGGTTTTGAGGGTCTTGGGCTTTGGGTTTCGGGGCTTCGGGCTTAGGGTTTTGAGGCTTGGGATTCAGGGTCTTGGGCTTCAGGTTTCGCGGCTTCGGGCTTAGGGTTTTGAGGGTCTTGGGCTTTGGGTTTCGTGGCTTCGGGCCCAGGGTTTTGAGGGTCTTGGGCTTAGGGTTTCGTGGCTTCGGGCCTAGGGTTTTGAGGGTCTTGGGCTTAGGGTTTCGTGGCTTCGGGCCTAGGGTTTTGAGGGTCTTGGGCTTAGGGTTTCGGGGCTTCGGGCTTAGGGTTTTGAGGGTCTTGGGCTTAGTGTTTCGTGGCTTCGGGCCTTGGGTTTTGAGGGTCTTGGGCTTAGGGTTTCGGGGCTTCGGGCCTAGGGTTTTGAGGGTCTTGGGCTTTGGGTTTCGGGGCTTCGGGTTTAGGGTTTTGAGGGTCTTGGGCTTTGGGTTTCGGGGCTTCGGGCTTAGGGTTTTGAGGCTTGGGATTCAGGGTCTTGGGCTTCAGGTTTCGCGGCTTCGGGCTTAGGGTTTTGAGGGTCTTGGGCTTTGGGTTTCGGGGCTTCGGGCCCAGGGTTTTGAGGGTCTTGGGCTTAGGGTTTCGTGGCTTCGGGCCTAGGGTTTTGAGGGTCTTGGGCTTAGGGTTTCGTGGCTTCGGGTTTAGGGTTTTGGGCTTAGGGTTTCGGGGCTTCGGGCCTAGGGTTTTGAGGGTCTTGGGCTTTGGGTTTCGGGGCTTCGGGCTTAGGGTTTTGAGGCTTGGGATTCAGGGTCTTGGGCTTCAGGTTTCGCGGCTTCGGGCTTAGGGTTTTGAGGGTCTTGGGCTTTGGGTTTCGTGGCTTCGGGCCCAGGGTTTTGAGGGTCTTGGGCTTAGGGTTTCGTGGCTTCGGGCCTAGGGTTTTGAGGGTCTTGGGCTTAGGGTTTCGTGGCTTCGGGCCTAGGGTTTTGAGGGTCTTGGGCTTAGGGTTTCGGGGCTTCGGGCTTAGGGTTTTGAGGGTCTTGGGCTTAGGGTTTCGTGGCTTCGGGCCCAGGGTTTTGAGGGTCTTGGGCTTAGGGTTTCGGGGCTTCGGGCTTAGGGTTTTGAGGGTCTTGGGCTTAGTGTTTCGTGGCTTCGGGCCTTGGGTTTTGAGGGTCTTGGGCTTAGGGTTTCGGGGCTTCGGGCCTAGGGTTTTGAGGGTCTTGGGCTTAGGGTTTCGTGGCTTCGGGTTTAGGGTTTTGAGGGTCTTGGGCTTAGGGTTTCGGGGCTTCGGGCCTAGGGTTTTGAGAGTCTTGGGCTTAGGGTTTCGGGGCTTCGGGCTTAGGGTTTGAAGGCCTAGGACGTCGCAACAGCAGCCCGCGGTTGTGGTCTTGGTTGTGATGGTCCACCCGTCGACCATGGTATCCGCGGCTCCAGCCGTGTTTGCTGTGCCTGCTCCTGTCCACGAAGAGCCTCCATGACGGCTTGATGGTACATGTTAAAAAGCGGAGGGCTGGAAGGGCAACCCTCCCGCAGTCCTTCATCCGCCGCGTATGATGAGGAATTTCCACCATAAACATTGACCGAGTATCTTGTGTGCTCGGGAAGCGGGTGGCAAATCTTGATGAACCCGCTGGGCGCACCCCTTTTTCAGGAGCATCCACAACGCGTCCCGACTTACTCGCGGGTACGCCTTTTCAATGTCAAACAACCGAATCAGAACGACCCAATCATTGGCAATTCGACGGGTCACCTGCAATGCATTATCTACGCTTCTTCCTTTGCGGAAGCCGGACCACTTCAGGGTCCGTTGCGCAACCACGCCAGCCAATAGTTTGGATCCAACACTCAGAAGATCTCAGAAGCGTGACTCCTCTTGTGTTGAGGTGTCCGCCTTGTCTCGCAAGGGTCTTCGGCGTTGGGTTTCGGGGCTTCGGGCTTATGGTATTGAGGCTTAGGGCTTAGGACTTCGGGTCTTAGGCTTAAGGTTTCGGCCTTCTGACTCAAGGTATTGAAATTGAAGCTTACAACTTAGGGTCTTAATTGAGCCTAGGGCTCGGGGCTTCTTGGTTTTAGATTTTTCGGTCTTCGAGCTGAGGGCTTTCAGCTTGGGACATAGGGTCGTGGGCTTAGAGTTTTGGGGCTTGGGGTATGGGGTTTGGGGATGCTTTGTGGCTCACCAGATTTGCCTTCGGTTTTGTGGCCAGTGACGGGGCTTAGGGTTTTGGAGCTTGAGGATTTTTGCGGGTCTGGTGTTTAAGATCGCGTGTAAACCCAAAATCGAAACACCAAGCCCAAGAAGGTCCAAGTGCTCCTAAACCCAAGTATATAAATTCTAAAACTCCGAAACTCAGCCCAAAGCGGCCTTCTCCCAGCCGCTCTGTGGTCACCTGGCGTCGGACTGCCCATCACCGGGACTTCCTTCTGGCTTCAAAGACCCACAGTGGCAATAGAACGCAAAAAACAAGTCTGAGAAAGTAGAAGCCTGAAACTAGGGTGTACCGCCCACTCGACGCGGCCAGTACACTCAAACCACGTCCTGAATGCCCAGAATCACTACAGCTATTGTTGCTACTGCACTTGGGTTGCTTCTAGGTGTCCGTGTTACACTCTGATAGTTCGCGGGTCACGGTTCCTTCACGCAGTGGCGGGCTGCTGCTGCTGCTGCTGCTGCTGCTGCTGCTGCTGCTGCTGCTGCTGCTGCTGCTCCTGCCACTGCTCTACCACTACCGGTGCTGCTACTGCTTCTGCTACTTTTGGCTCCGCAATTAAATCTTGGCATGTATGACGCGACCCAGCGCCAGAGCTGGTCAGCCAGGGAGTCTGCGACTTTGCCGTCCTTGAACAGTGGGCCCTCGGCCAGCATCGCTAGAAGGCAAAGAAGACGAAAACACTTTTCTCTCCTAGCTCGTGAAGCTTGTTCTCACGGCAGCCCGCCTTCCATGCCGGCCTAGTGTTACCAACAGCTGCACCTTCTCTTGCAGTTCAGTCTGGTCCTTGGGCTCTTCGACGACAAAAACCCGGTTGCTTGCACAAGCACTGGCCTCGGACTTCTCGCTGTTCTGCGGAGTCAATCGTGTGACACTCTCCAGAATATCTGTGATGCCGTCTGGGCCTGCAGTTCTGGAAGCCGGAAGGTCGCTGCGAGCCCGTTTGGCCGCCCTCGCAGCGTCTCCGGCACAGGCAATACACCAACCAACAACTCCTACTCCTACGGCCACTCGCATACATGTCTTGCATGTACACGTAAACCGTCCTCATGCCAAAACCCTTCAACCGAAAGTCTATGCAGGTTGAGCCTTTGTTGCATTGTTCGTGTCACCGAAACTGGCCATTGCGCTTGGCACTAAACAAAACCCTAGGCCCGCATACTCTCTGCAGGATGCAAGGTGGTTGGATGCCGACTCCTTGTCATGTGGCGTTGGGCTTAGGGGCATCGGTTTTGGAGTCCTTTTTATGAGGTAAAATTTCGGGTTCATAGAGGTCGGCAATGCAACTCCAGAGTGGTTGATCGATTGAAGAGTACAGAAACCCGAACCTGAATGTCGCCAAGCTCTTTGGGCTTTAGGGTTTGGGCTTTGTATTGAAACATCCAAAAGTAACACCCTGAACCCGCAAACCTTCATGAATACCTCTTCCCGCGGACCTTCGTGGGTCCCTTGGGTGTGGCGGCGACAAGGCGAGACACTTGTCGAAGCTCCTCACAGGTCGAAAGCTCGATCGTCGGCTCAGCCCCACGCCACAGACCCCACCCCAATCAAACAGGATATGATATGAAGCTGCAACAAAGAAACGCTAACAATCAGTGTGGCTGAGGGGTGCATTAATGTGCAGCATCGCACGAGGCAAGACAGTAGACAAAACATGCTACAACAATGATAGTCCGGTGGTGTGACTGCATGGGCCAGTAAAACCTATAGACAAACTATGTCCGAAACAACAACGGCTGAATGTAGGGCACTGATGCTGAAACATGGCTGGCACAGCTTGTGCCGTCTGCAACAACCAACCCTCTTCTCTACACCCCTACGCTGCTTGGGGTTCATTCAGATTTTGACATAAATCCTTCTACGCCAAACCCTACACCCTGAGGGCTCTACCACTCCCGCACCTCATAGCCCTACACCATTCACATCCTCAAGACCTCAGCCATATCCTCAACGTAATTTGACCCAAAACGTTCATCGAAAATCTCGATCTGGAACTTAAACCCCACATCCTGGCCTCGCCGTCCGACGGTGGAAGCCAGATATGATGCCTCGGCATTTGGATTTCGGGTTTAGGGTTTACGGCTCAGGGGTCTCGGGTTTAGGGTTTCGGGCTAAAGGTTTGTCTGCACAGCACCAAGGGAGGCGGCAAACCCTGACAGGTTTTTGGCCCTGCAAGGATCTAGGGACTTAGACCCGGGTTTCAAACCGAAAGCGCCAAGACATCCCTACGTAGGGAAACCACAACTTCCATTGCACGGGTTACAACAACAAACCTGTTTAGTATATTCTAGAACCCTGAATAAACCTTAAACCTTCAAACCTAAACCAACCCAAACCCTCTACCATGAAACCCTAGACCCTGTTGTCTAGGGATCCGTGACTAGCCTGCTCCGAAAAGCCAGAAAAGATTTGAAAACAAATCACGAAGGAGGAACCGAATCCTGCCCGGCCCTCCCTCCCTCAATAAAGACAAAACAAATCTGAGGCCCCTAAGACTTAGCAAAACCCTGCACTTGAAACCCGCCTGCAAGCCTCGCACTCAAACAAAAAGCAAAGACGCTGAGCGCCAAGCGGGTCGCTCGGAGCCTGCACAGATCCATCATGAAGGGCTTAGTATTGAATTTGCGAGTAAACTAGTCTGGGAATTAACGTTATTTCCTTGTATGGCAACACTACTCCCTACTCATGAAGTCCGCTTCGGCAGCCGTGCAGGGCGGAATGAACTCATTCAGAAGGCATAGCTCTGACTCTTTCGTGGTCTGCAAGAGCTTTGTCGCCTCCGTGGGTGGAATGCCCTTGTACCTGGACGGAGAGATAGCATCCCGTTCGATAGCCAGAGGGACTCAGATCTGTACGGTCCCCTGTGCCTGAGTCTCCCCCAAACTGCGTGCTGATTGAATCTCAAGGCCGAGGCCGAAGGCCAGGCTTGAGCCTAAGATCCACGGACTCCGCCGAGCTCCAAGGATTCCCCACACGGAAGAGGCTCTGCAGTCTTCAAGCTTCTCGACTCGCATCTTGGGGTCTGTCATCCAGCGTAACTGCTGCAGCAAGAACACTGGCAAAGGTGTCGTAAGCTGAGTCTGTGTCTTCGCCAAAAGAACATTTAAGAGTACTTCTTCAGAATCCTACTTTGGGCTCTGAGGGTTGTACAAGCTAGAATTAAAGGGGTTGCAGCTTTGGGGTTTAGGCTTCAAGCGCTTCATAGCTTCGAGCGGTCGAAAGGTCTACCCTACCGGGTTTAATTTTGCTTTTCGGGAAACCCTCGGGGGCTTCAAGCTTTTGGGTTGCGCTCAGAGTTTGTGGGCTTTTGGGGCTGTCATCAAGGTTCTGACGGGACGGCAATGTTACGGCTTCGGGTTCAGGGTTGCTGATGAACCTTAACCTGTGCGCAGCGTGGAACTTTGAGAATGCAGGCAAACGATTTGGGGATAGCTTAGGAGTTTGAGGTTTCGTGTTTGGGGGCTTAGAGGTTTAGGGTGGGTCGTTTGTGGACAGTGCCAACTCTCATTACTCCCTCCTCAAAACTCGGAAGACCTCCTTCAATTGCCCATCCATCTTAAGGCACACCCCACGCGTTGACAGCAAACGCTGCGAACCCTAGACTCAAAAAATCTATACTTCACGCCGGAGAAAGCCTAAACTCTCAAACCACAAACTCTCAGCTCCACAACCCCGCTAACCTCAAACTTACCGACGAAAGCTGATTCAACGTTCAACAGCTCTGAATGCTCCTCCTGACCTTCAAGAATCCCCAAACTGGGCTCCGAACAGTTGAATCTATCCTGGACACTAAATCACGCCCCAAAATGCTCTAAGCCCGAAACCACAAAGTCGTAACCACCGAACCCTTAATTCCAAAACATTTGACCCTTATGCCCGGATTCTTGAACTCTCATTCTACATCCCACAACTTCAACTTTGGGGAGGCTCGCTACCCTAAACCCCAAGCCCGAAACTGTCCCAACCTCTCCCCTGGGTCAGTTGCTTCCCTGTCCCAAACCCTATATAGACCCTATGCCTGGGCGTCTTTCATGTCTTCGGCGATAGCTCTAGCCTGGCAGCAGCTCAAAGTCCGTTGGGGTGTTCAAACTCAGGGTATATGACTATGTGGCATGGACCTTTAGGGTCTATTTGGCAATCCTGCTGGGCTTTGTATTTAAACTGCAACAACACCACGGCGACAAGAAGCCACGACGACTCGGTTTAGCACGACGACGACTGGGTTCAACACGGCGACGACAAGGTCTGGCACGACGGTTACATCGGGAGGCCGAAGCGCGTACAGTGTAAAGGTCTCGACAGGAGTTTAAGGGTCTAGGGTCTTAGTTCCTAACTATGGTTTACCGGGGTCAGTATACTATGGAAGATCTAAGGTTTGGAGTTTATGAGGATTTAGATGGTTTTACGCTCTCACAAGTTCTCCGTGCTGGTTTTAGGGTCTATCACAGTCTATCACATTGTCCTCCCGTCCCTCTCGCGCCGGGAACCATCAAGAATCTGTCTTGTGTATTTCTCGTCCTGCGTCTTTCTCTCATTCCCTTTCCTCTTCCTGCCTATCCACTCTGCCGTTTGTCAAGAAGACACAGAAATTGAAGTCATGACAGAGGAATAGGCATGAAGATGGACGAAGTGAACTCTTCATTCTCTCGTCTCTCCCTTCTCTCCTTCCTTTGATTGATCCTTTTTTTGTTTTTTTTCTTGTCGCCTTCTGCTGTCAATGACAGGGGTAACACGAGGGAGGGGCAAAGGGACGACGTCAGTTCCTCTCGACGTGGTTCGTTTTTTCATTTCCTCTCGCGTTGTCTCTCTTCCGCCTCTCTCTCTCTCTCTTTTTCTCGCTCTGTCTTCCTCTCTGCCGTGTCTCGCTCTCTCATCTCTTCTGTCCCTTCTTTCCTTGCTCCCTTGCTGGAAGGAATAGAAAACAGAAGCGAAGACATAAGATGGAGGAAGATGGTTGGGAGAAGGTGGATTCCTCCCTCACTCGGCTCTTTGACTTTCTTTGCCCTTGCCTTCTTTTCTCTGCTCCTATCCTTCTTCACAATTAGAAGGAGAAGCGACAAGAACGGAGAGCTCAGGGAGAGCAAGTGACACTGTTCCTCATAATCTCCTCCTTCCTCGTGTTCATTGCGTTGTCCATCTCCCCCTCGCTCTCTCTCTCTCTCTCTCTCTCTCTCTCTCTCGCTCTCTCTCTCTCCCTCCATCCTTTCCTCTCTACTTCTGCACATTTACTTTTCCACTTCTCTCGCCTGCTACATTATGCTTGCTTTGATACTTATCTTTAACTTTCTCTCACTCTCTTTGTCCCATCGCTTGCCCTGTTCCTTCTCCTCCTCACTTCCCTGCCTCCCGTCCTTCTCCCCTTATCACTCAGAAGGAAGAAGGAAGACTCACAAGGAGAAAGACAAGGGAGTAAGAAAACAGACAAAAGAAACGGAGAGAGAGCCATAAGGGACGAAATACAGAAACAAAGAGAGAAAATAAGGGGGAAAGATAATCAAAAAGAGAGACAGAAAGAGGAGGCGATGCATAAAGCAGCCGACAGTGCCTTGACCTCCACGTCTATTCATTCTTTGTTCTTGTCCTATCACACTGTCTCATTGGTGATAAACCAGGAAGAGCTTGTGGAGGGAGACGAGGAAGTGTTTTCCTCTTCACTCACCTTGTGCCCTTCCTCTCCCACCGCTCGCCCGCTCTCCTTTCTTTGATTTTCTTGTCTGGCGGAAAAGTGGGAACCAGGAGAAAGAAGAGAGATACAGAGAGAGCCAGGGAGAGCTTCAAGCCCAGCAGAGGAAGAAGAGAGAGGAAGATAAGAGAAGGGGGCAAGGGGTGGCCAGAAGAAGCGTAAGCCAAAGCTACGTATTGAAAGGGCGGAAGCCCCATTCTCCTCTTCTTCCTCTTTGCTCTCTTATTTTTCTCTTAGCGCAGGGCATGCATGGAGCTAGGAAAGGGAAGGGGTCAAAGCGGATGAGAGAAAGTAACGGAGAGAGCTGTTCTTCGTCCCTCTCACCTCCTCCTCTCATTCTCCTGATGCTTACTCATGTCAGAAGGGTCTGGAAAGGAGTGAAGGCTAGGGCATGGACTGAAGCGAGGCAATAGGTGAAAGGGGATAAGAGAAAGTCGGGGGAAGTCGAGTGCGAAAGAAAGCGAAACGAGGAAGACTAGGAAGAAGGACACAGAAGAGGAAGCGAGAGAGTACCAGTGTTGCCGTATCTCAAAGGACTCCGGGCCTCGCGAGGGCTTCGAGGAGGCTTGTAGGCGCCTTCAGACACTTCCACAACTTTCTGGAGGACACCAACTTCCTCCCTAAGGGGGCCTCTTGAGGACATGAACACCAAACCGAGTATAAAGAAAGCAGGGGGATGTAGAGAAGCAGAGTGTGGTAAGAAGGAGCAAGGAGAATCAGTTCGCGTCTCCTCATCGTTTCCTCTTTGAATGACCAGAGGAAAGAAAAGGATAAGGAGGAAGGGCTCTGCGAAGACATAAGGAAAGAAGAGCAGACAACAGAAAGGAAGCGGTAAGATGCGGGAAGACGGTTCGGAGAAGAAAGGAGAATTCCTCCTTCGCTCGCCTCTCTTACTTCCTTGCCCTTCGCCTTTTTCCTCTTCTCTTACCCTATTCATCTTCATAAGGAAGGAGAAATGAAAGGAACGGAGAGTTCAGGGCATGCAAAGGGCACTCTTTCTCATCACCTCATCCATCCTCCTTTTCATTGTTCTCTCCAGATCCCTCTTTCTCTCTCCCTCCCTTCCCGTCTACTTCTGCACATTCCCTTTTCCGCTTCTCTCCCCCTATTATGTTCGCTTTGATAAAATCGCTTGCCCTATTCCTTCTCCTCCTGGCTTTCCTGCCTCCCGTCCTTCTCCCTCTATCACTCAGAAGGAAGAAGGACGATTCACAAGAAAGAAGCGTAAGCCAAAGCTACGTAATGAAAGGGCGGAAGCCCATGTCTCCTCTGTTCTTCCTCTTTTCTCTCTTATTTTTCTCTTAGCAAAGGGCACGCATGGAGCTAGGAAAGGGAAGGGGTCAAAGCGGATGAGAGAAAGTAGCGGAGAGAGCTGTTCTTCGTCCCTCTCACCTCCTCCTCTCATTCTCCTGATGCTTGCTCATGTAAGAAGGGGTTGGAAAGGAGTGAAGGCTAGGGCATGGACTGAAGCGAGGCAATAGGTGAAAGTGGATAAGAGAAAGTCATAGACAGAGAGTGGGGGAAGTCGAGTGCGAAAGAAAGGGAAACGAGGAAGACTAGGAAGAAGGACACAGAAGAGGAAGCGAGAGAGTACCAGTGTTGCCGTATCTCACAGGACTCCGGGCCTCGCGAGGGCTTCGAGGAGGCTTGTAGGCGCCTTCAGACACTTCCACAACTTTCTGGAGGCCACCAACTTCCTCCCTAAGGGGGCCTCTTGAGGACATGAACACAAAACCGAGTATAAAGAAAGCAGGGGGATGTAGAGAAGCAGAGTGTGGTAAGAAGGAGCAAGGAGAATCAGTTCGCGTCTCCTCATCGTTTCCTTTTTGAATGACCAGAGGAAAGAAAAGGATAAGGAGGAAGGGCTCTGCGAAGACATAAGGAAAGAAGAGCAAACAACAGAAAGGAAGCGGTAAGATGCGGGAAGACGGTTCGGAGAAGAAAGGAGAATTCCTCCTTCGCTCGCCTCTCTTACTTCCTTGCACTTCGCCTTCTTCCTCTTCTCTTACCCTATTCATCTTCATAAGGAAGGAGAAATGAAAGGAACGGAGAGTTCAGGGCATGCAAAGGGCACTCTTCTCATCACCTCACCATCCTCCTTTTCATTGTTCTCTCCAGATCCCTCTTTCTCCCTCCCTCCCTTCCCGTCTACTTCTGCGCATTCCCTTTCCGCTTCTCTCCGCCTACTATGTTCGCTTGGAAAGAATCGCTTTGGAAAGAATCGCTTGCCCCCTATTCCTTCTCCTCCTGCCTTTCCTGCCTCCCGTCCTTCTCCCTCTATCACTCAGAAGGAAGAAGGACAATTCACAAGGAAGAAGACAAGAGAGTAAGAGAAAGACAACAGAAGCGGAGAGACAATCCGAGAAGGGCAGAAGAAGAACGAGAGCCATAAGGAAACAAACACAGAAACAAAGAGAGAAAGTAAGAGAGAAAGACCAGCAAAAACAGAGGCAGAGAGTGAGAGAAAGGAGGGGAGGGGAAGCGATGCAGAAAGCAGTCGAAAGTGCATTGCTTGTCCTATCTCACCGTCTCATTGGTAAAAAACCAGGAAGAGGTTGTGGAGGAAGACAAGGAAGAAGTGTTCTCGTCTTCACTCACCTTGTGCCCTTCCTCTCCCACCGCTCGTCCGCTCGACAGAAAGAAGAGAGTTGCGGAGAGGGCGAGAGAGAGCTTCAAGCCCAGCAGAGGAAGAAGAGAGAGGAAGATACGAGAAGTGTGGAGGAAGTGGCCAAAAGAAATGCTACGTAATGAAAGAGGGGAAACCAGTTTCTCCTCTGCTCTTCCTCTTTTCTCTCTTATTCTTCTCTTCTCGCAGGGCATGCATGGAGCCAGGAAAGGGAAGGGGTCAAAGCAGATGAGAAAGTAATGGAGAGAGCTGTTCTTCGTCCCTATGACCTCCTCCTCTCATTTTACTCATATCAGAAGGGTCTGGAAAGGAGTGAAAGGTAGGGCATGGACTGAAGCGGGGGAATAGGTGAAAGTGGATAAGAAACAATGTTAGACAGCTTGCCGAAGGCGGCCAGCTCGCAGCTTGCCTGCGGCCTGGCCTGCTGAGCCTGGTGGGCTCTCGAGGGTGGGCAGGGGCCTGCTGAGATCCACGGCCAGCACGCCCGGCTTGCTTTGAGGCAGGGCCAGCTGGGGAGCCTGGCCGGGCTGAGTGGGTTGGGTGAGTGAGTGGGGAGAGGGTGGAGAGGAACAGGGAGAAGAGGGTGGGTGGAGAGAGGATCGCGCCGGGAACCATCAAGAATCTGTCTTGTGTATCACTCGTCCTGTTTCTTTCTCTCACCGTTCCTCTTCCTGCCTATCCACTCTGCCGTTTGTCAAGAAGACACAGAAATTGCAGTCATGACAGAGGAATAGGCATGAAGATG